AAACACAAATACATTTTCTAGCAATTCTAAAATTCCTTCCTCTCCTAGACATAAACATGTCAGAAAATGGGACTATCAAATAGTCACTCAAGCTATAAAGCCAGGAATCCTTGATCCTCTCCCTTCTTCTCCCCTCCAGGCCCATTTTTAATCCATTCAGGTGTAGGCTCTTAGTCTGGCGTCTGATCTCTTTTTCCATCTTCATCACGGGCATGCCCTGAGCCCACACATACTTGCTTCCTGCTAGATGACTAAAACAACTTCCTACTTTCTCTCCTGCTTCTCTCTAATCCATTCTCTATGTAACCAGAGAGAACCTACAAGAAATGCAAATCAAAGAACTGTACTCTTTTGCTTTAAACCCTTCAACAGGGGTCAGGCAGTGGCGCAGTGGTAACACAACGGAAGGAAAAGGACCTTAATTTGCAGCCTGGGACTCACTGAGCACACTGGGGGCCCACACATTGTGTCTGTGATGTGAGTGGGTCATGGCATGGGTACCCTGCTGGGGTGCCTGTCTCTCAGTTTGTCATAGAAGAAATAAATTAATAATAATGACTTAAAAAAAAAAAAACTTGCCTTTTCATTTAAAATAAAATTCAAATCCCTTATCATGGCCTACAAGGCCCTACATAATCTTATTCTTATTCATGTTCTAACCTCAATATTCAATTGCTCTTCTTGACTGCTAGAGACAAGGTGTCTTGGGCCTTAGCATGGTTTGAATGTCCCCAAAACTCATGTTAAAATTTAATCCCCATTGTAAGGTATTATGAGGGTAGAAACTTAATCTGACTATGGCATTAAAATGCTGAAGCCCTCAGGAAGTAATGAGAATCAGATAAGGGCCTGGGGAGGGGGGGTGTCATAACTGAAGACTGTGGCTTCATAAAAAGAGAGCAAGCGGCCAGAGCTGACAACTGCGCCTGAACCTCAGTCCGGCCACCCAGCAGCTGACGGCATGAGGAAGCTGCTAAGGCTCTCCACCTCTCTTCCCTACCTGTACCTCACTTTACAGGCTGCTGGGCGGAGTAAATAGGCTCTGCCACTTGCAAACAGCCTTCTCCTCTGTACCCCCAATGCACTGTAACAAAAGCTGCCTGGCATTAGAGTTGGCTAAGAATATGCAAAACTCCTAGGTGCATTATAAGGGCAGGCTCTTTTCAGTGTCCTGCATAGAGCAGATTATCAGTTAAAACAGAACTCTGTGAAAAACATGTCTTAAAGTTAACTTTTTTTTTTTTGAGAGAGAGATTTTTGCTATAGGACACGTGTGCTCATCAGAAAGAGACAGACAGCGAGACAGAAAGTGAGAAATCACCCCTCCCCTGGGGGGGGGGGTAATGGCCACACCGCAATCCCTTCTGCTCCATTCTTCTCTCAGGATCTTGGGCACGCACACACAAACACCCGGTGTGAGTTTAAGCCACTGGGTCCGGGACTTGAACCGCAGTCGACTACTTGGGAGTCCAGTGACATAGCCATTACACCAACTGCTGGTCCCAAAGTTCTTTAATTTTTAAGTTAAAGATTAATAATCTTATTTCCCTCTATGCTGTTTTGTAAAGATAATACTTTTATTCAACAGTATTATCCTACTCCCTTTCATGCCCCATATTCAAATCCTGACCCTCTTTACCCAAGTGTCCCTTTGGTTTATTTGTTTTACACCAACTTTCACTCTTCTGGAGTCACTGCTTTGAGTGGCTAGGCCTTTCAAGTCTGTTCTTCCTAAAAATTATGTCTCTTTTTCCTCAATGTGTTATTTCAACAATGTTCAATTCTACCAAAAAGCTGAAAGAATAGTAAAATGAACACACATATACCCTTAACAATGGCAGTATTTGCTGCACAGCCTTCTCTGTCTCCCCCTCGGAAACAGTAAGAGGCTTTCTCAGGCTTAACGCTGAATTACCCCAATACTGGCCTACACAGCACACACCCTGTCAACGGCTTGGTCATGCTCCAGTCACATGTGCAGCTGTGTCATGGATGAGCTTCCCTCATTCCCCCAACTACTGGGTCACAGGGAAATTATGACACTTTTTTTTAATAGAAAAATAGAAAAACTCATCATGACTTTCCCAGTGACCTAATACTACAGCTGATCAGATTTGACAGAATTCCTCCTGCCCCTCTCCTCCTTTTTCAAGATATCCTCTCATCCCCAATGCCTTCGAATTTCTTACCTTCAAATAAAAACTACCCCATCCGTACCTTCATACTACACACACAGAATTTCTTAGTTAAGCACATTTAAGATTCTTTCCCTGGGTTTCTATCATGTCTATTTGTAAACCATATCCTTCCATTTTCTTTGAAGTCACAGAACAGAAATTTTAATTTGTTGTCTTGACTTGCAGTTATTTCTATAGTCAGCTTCTGAACTGTCTCTGGAAATGCCCAGTCATTTCAAGTTGTCACTCCTTCAGCCCAATTTCCACTTTTCAATTTTTTTAGAGAGAGATTTTTGCTACAGGGCACGTGCACTCACTAGAGAGACAGAAAGCAAGAAATCATCCTCCAGAGGGGATAGCCATGCCACAATCCTTCTCCTCCATTCTCTTCTTGGGATTTTGGGTACACACGCACACGGGCCTAGCCTGAGTTTTAAGCCCCGGGTCCAAGACTCGAACTGTGGTCAACTATGTGAGGGTCCAGCAACATAACAATTAAGGCATCTGCTGGTCTTTGCCCAATTTTCATTTTAAATATGGCTAATAGCTATTTTGTTTACAATTCAATATTCACACTAGATTAATCTCATAACACTAGCCAGACAAATCATAATATTAGTTTGATACTAAATTCATATAGTGCAGGTATAATTTTTTGTGGTGAAAGGGCAAAACCATGCAACAGAAAGACTGCAACATGAAGACAATGAGTAAGAAATTCTGACAAAACCCATCTGTTCTGCCTGAGACCACATGGGAGGCTCAAGTCTGATTCCTGGCCCACCCTAAAAGCCAGGCACAATGGTGTGTGCCTATAGTTCCCAGGACTCAGGGGGCCGAGGCAACAGAACTGCAAAACAGCAAGATCCCATGGGATAACAATAACCCTCTGGATCTATTCAAACTATGGTATGCATAGTTAGAAAGTGACTCTTTAAAAGCTCACCCTCCTAACAGGGAACCCACAGTATCTTTTTTTTTTTAAGGTTTCTGTCATCAGGCGCTTGCTAGGGAAAGCCAAGAAGAACGAGGGGGTAGGAAAAGACAAGAAAAACGATGGGAGGGAACGAGAGAAATTACCCCCCCGCCCGGGAGGGTGGTCATACTGCAGCCCCTTCTCCTCCCTTCCTGGGATTTTCGATACAAATGCACACGCACCCAGTATGATTTTCAAGTTTCCAGGACTGGGACTAGAACCGCAGTTGTCCACATGGGGGGTCCAGTGCCTTACTCATTATGTCAACTGCTGCCCCCCCGCCCTCTGAATCATTCTTAGTGTAATGTTTGTATATTTTTTTGGTTTGGGGTATAAGTTTAGTTATTATAAAAATAAGAATAGTTCCTTGTAATGCTTCTTTATATTAGAACAAATTTTAAATGCAAAAGAAGTAGACACTGTGCCTGAAATCACACACTTACCCTTTCCCTCCACATATGATAGCAGAGGGAAAGGGCAAGAACAGAATCAAGAATAAAATGATAATGAAATTACAGTTTATCACCTCTAATACCTTCAGCTATTTCAGGGAAAAAAGCTTGAGTGAGACAAATGAGCTGTGTACAGGAAACACATATGGAAAAAGGTCTCCTCCCTCAAATAGCAGCGCCGTATCTCTCAGGACTGAAAGGCTGCAAAGACCTCCCCCAATGACTTTTAGAAAAACTGATTTAATAGTATATAATTAGAACTACAGCTTTTCCTTTCACAAATACTGGCAGTATACTTATGAATTTTTCAGAATTCCAAATTTGCATGTAAATTTTTATACACTTTTAAATGAATCCATACCGTAACAACTGCTAAATAAAAAGATAAAAATAAAACTTTGTGTCTTGATTACTCAAAATGCTGGATTCTAATACTGACTTAGTGCAGCCAGCTATGTTTTTATGCAATGTCTTCAGAGTACACTTACCGCCATTCTTTGTTTTTCTCCACCACTGAGTACATCCATCCAATCCTGAACACTATCCCAGCCTCCTTCTCGTTCAAGGATATGACCCAACTGGACATTGTCTAAGTATTCCTTCAGCACCTTTAAGGAAGATGATTACAGATGAAATCGGTCTTAATTTAAATCAGCATTTTCTATCTTGCTGTATTTTTTAAACTAGAATCACTGTCATACCATTGCCAATACCACATACTTCAGAAAAGAACCTTTCAGTTCCTACTAACTCTGACGAAATATGTCTCACAGCTCTGAGAGAACAGCACGATGGAGCAGGTACAGAGGACACCAACAGTGGTGTGCAGTGAGGCTAAACTAAACCTAGTGAGAGCCGGGCCAGCTGCGGTGGACGTGCTGCTGAGATGCTGTGCCCTGCAGGGTGGGACCACATGGGAGGTCCAGCTTCAATTCCCCACCCAACCTCAAGGCCAGGCACAGAGGGCTGAGCCTGTAATCCTAATGACTTGGGGGAACTGAGGCAGGAGGATGTGACAAAACAAGAGCCTGACTTTTTCAAACAAAGCCAAAAAAAAACTTGAAGAGTCGTATTTAAGCAAAGTGCTTATCATCTCCCCTCAACTTGAAAAGCTGTAATTAATGGCTTCGGAAAGCTCTGCAAGTGTGGATAAACTACCTGTCACGTGAAATATCTCACTGATCAAGATGAAGAATTTGAAATGGGCCATGTTCAGTAGATCTAGGATATAAATATTCTCTTACCAGGTCAGATATCCCTTTCTTTTTCTGATCTTCTCTTCCATCTGGATATATCACTTGGTCTCGAAGTGTTCCAAGGGTCATGTAAGGTCTCTAACAGTAGCAGAGCAAAAGCCATTAGAAATGAAAAATTTTAAAATTATATATATATATATAGTTAGACGTCCTCCAAAAAGAGGCCATAACTATAAGCAGAAGGAAAGAGAGGAAGAGCAGTTGTAAAATCACCCTGTGGTAGATGGGATGACAAATGAAGGCTCCAAACTCTGAGGTCGATTTGTACTTACTTCCCCAAGAACACGGAAAAGTGAACTCTTTCCACAACCATTTGGACCACAAATGAGAACATTGGCCCCAGATCGAACCTGAAAGAAAATGAGTCTATGAATTAATTGAGTGAATATATATACTCAATGAACATTTCCTAAGAGTTAAATAACTCTTCACTAGTTTTAAGTTTTGTCTGTAAGTGGGATTATGAGGTAGAGAAGTAGACGGGTAAGGTAAGATGACCTTTCCTTTCCTTTCAACTTCTACTGTTACTTTTTATTTTCATTTAAAAATTCTGTTTTTTGTTTCTTCCATGAGAGATACAGACAGAAACAGGCAGTCCCAACAGGATCTGCATGGTGTGACCCACACACAGTCTTGGCCAGCCCAGATCAAGGGCACACACACGTGCCCAGTGTGATCAGGGGAGACCTCGGGATGCAAACCCAGGGCCTTCCCCATGGGCTGCGTTACTGCCGTGCCACTACCTGCCCCTAAACAACATTACTGATGATCTCATCAATTTAACTGCCGTCAAGATAAAGAGAGCTAATGCTTAGAAATTTGGTGAAATTCTGGAAAATAGTAAGTATGTGTGTATACATAGTCATTTTTAAAAAATGGAATGGTACCACAGAGACTCTCTTCAATCTTCCTTTTATTATTTAACAGTATATCAAAGAGATTCTTCTAGGTCTGTATATTCAATGCTATTCATTCCTTTAATGCTTGCAGCATATCCCACAGTGCACCATAATTTATTTAAACCCTTCCCTTTGGTTAAATATTTAGGTTGTCTGTATTCTGTTTTGCTCTTTTAGATAATACTGCAGTGAACCTGAGTCAGCAAGTAAATTTATGCATCAGTAAGAAATGTTTCTGTAGATCAGATTCTTAGAAATTTAAAAGTGTTGGATCAAAGTATATTTGCACTATAAATATTTACAAGTGTCACTAAAGTATTCTGCTATAACCTAAAGTTAAGTAAGGAGATGTACAGAGCTGTTATGTTCTAAGCTTCCAGTCTTATAATCAGCTCTGTAAGTTAGTAAGAAAGTTGGGACCAGCAGTTAGTATAATGGCTATGTCGCTGGACTCCCATGTAATCGACTGCAGTTCGTATCCTGGACCTGGTGGCTTAAAACTCACACCGGGCACGTGTGCATGCCTGCCCAAGATCCCGAGAGAAGAACGGAGGAGAAGGGATTGCGGCATGGCCATCCCCCCTGGGGGGGGGGGTGATTTCTCGCTTTCTGTCTCTCTGTCTCTCTCTGTCTGTCTGGTAAGCACACGCGCCCTATAGCGAAAACCTCCAAAAAAAATAAAAAAAGATTAGTAAGAAAGTCTGGGTTATAATTTTAGGTTACGATATTAAACACCATTAGCAAAACAGGAAAGAAGACATCAGAGATATGAGGTACCCTAGTCCTATAACTTGCCTCTGGCAATTTTTTTAACTGGCAAGCCTTAGGTTTCTATTATTTAATTCAATGAATTTATAGAATGCTCTGTGGCAGGCTCTGTCCTAGGTGATAGGGTGACATTAGTAAATAAAAGAGACCAACGGAAAAATTCTACACTTCCTACTACTAGGTTGTTGGGACAGTCATAATTTTCAAAGTCGAAAATGTGTCATGACTTTACCAGCAATCTAATAGCTTCCATTTTAGCAAGAGACTAGCAATAAAGAATATGAATAACAAATACGTAAGTGGTATGCTAGGAAATAAGCGCTGCAAAGAAAAGCCAGATCAGGGTAAGCACATGTGGGAATAGGTGGGGGAGTTACAATTTTAAAGTGGTTGATGCAGACCTCATTGAAAATGACAACTGGACAAAACTTTGAAAGAAGGCGTTAGGTTGAAAGTTTATCTGGGGGAAGACTGTTCCAGCCCTATCATCACCCACAAAAAGCTGATGTGAGGGCACGAAGGAGGAATGGATCTGCCCTGTTCATAAAACAGAAAGAAGGCCTATTTGGCTGGAGGCGAATGAACAAGAGGGAAGAGCAGCAGGACACAGGTTCAGAGGTAAGAGGGGATGGCAGGGGTGGCAGGCACATCACACAAGGTATGTATGGTCAACCTCTAAAAGCCTGGGTCTTCTGTAATGGAATGGTACCAGCAGCATTATTCACAATAGCCAAAAGGTGGACGCAACCCAAGCAGATGAATGAGTAAACAAGATGTGGATATACATACAAAAGAACAGTATTCGGCCTCAAAAAGAAGTGATTGTGATATATGCTTACAATGTAGATGAGCCATGAATGCACTATGCTGAGTGAGTAAGCCACACACAAAAGAACAAAGGTGTGTCTACTTATTTGAGTTGTCTAGAGCAGCCAAATTAATAAAATCAAAAAGTAAAACAGAATTTACCAAGGGCAGGGGAGGAGGCAGGAAGGGGAATTATTGAATAGATACAGAGTTTCTGTTTGGAATGGTGGAAATGTTCTGAAAATGAATAATGAAAATGGTTGCAAAACATTATAAATGTACGTAATACCACTGAATTGTATACTTAAAAATGGTTAAAAAGGGGGCTGGCAGGTGCTGTGGTGGTTGAAGGCATTGGACTCCCACCTGGCTGACCGTGGTTCAAGTCCCAGACCTGATGGCTTGCTTTCTCACTTTTCTCTTCTCTCTTCTCTTCTCTCTCTCTCTCTCTCTCTCTCTCTCTCTCTCACACATACACACACACACACACACACACACACACACACACACACTGTCCCCCTCTGGTCAAATAAAATAAAATAAAATAATTATTTAAAAAAAAGAAAAAATGTTTAAAATGGCAAAGTTAATGTTACAGATATTTTTATCTCAATTTTTTAAAATTTTAAAAAGAAAAAAAAAGCCTATTTTTAAAAAGGTTGAGAATTATCATCCTAACACATAATTCATCTATAATAAAATGCCATAATTTACACATATCACTGTTAGAGAATGAGTTATTCTAAATAACTGTTCCAGATGAACTCTTTTTCTGAGAAATTATTTTAAAGAACCATTTTGATGGATTTCTCCCAAAAACAGCTACATATTTCTTTATTGTATTAAGTTGAATATGTTTCATATTCATGATACTGCAAGGCTGTTGTTGCATGTAATAACTGTAATAATATAATGGTGTGTCCTTAGGAATGCCTATGGCTCAGAGCACTGGTAAGCGGATCCCTGCAAGGGTGCTTTATCTGAATAATCTCAGCCACATTTCTGCCCCTAGTGCTCTTCGTGGTTTACACTGGTATCAATATTCCTATTCTTGCTTCCAACAATACCCCGCCACAGTACTTGTTGCTATATTCTAGGAAACCCCAAAACCAAGCTCGTAATATGTATAAATACTAACTAGTTTCACTGAAATCCTCAGGTACTCTCTTATGTGCAAATGTTTTATGCTCAGTCTTAACTTTTTTTTTAAAGAATTATTTTTTTTAGCTTTATGTATGTATGTATGTATGTATGTATGTATGCATATATTTAAATTTGACCAGAAAAAGAGAGAAAGTGAGAAACAAGCCGCCAGGGCCAGTCCCCGAACCATAGTCAGCCATGTGCGAGTCCAGCCCGGTTCTTTTTTTTTTTTTTTTTATGGAACGCTTCACGAATTTGCGTGTCATCCTTGCGCAGGGGCCATGCTAATCTTCTCTGTATCGTTCCAATTTTAGTATATGTGCTGCCGAAGCGAGCACCAGCCCGGTTCTTAACCACCACGTCACCTGCTGGCCCCAGCATTAACTTTCTTTACTACATGGCTTTTGAAAGTGTTGGACAAAAACTTCCAATTATGACACCAGCCATAGTAAGCCAGTGATAATTTTTCCCTATTAAAAATTTATACACATTATTTTTAGGGTATTAACAATAAAATCTAGGGCCAGCAGATGGCATAATCATTATGTTGCTGGACTCCCATGCAGTCGAATGCAGTTTGGGTCCCAGTCCCCGACCCCACCCCCGGTGGCTTAAAACTCATGCCAGGGGGACCAGGAGTTAGCATAATGATTATGTCGCTGGACTCCCACGTAGTCGACCGCAGTTTGCGTCCTGGACCCGGTGGCTTAAAACTCACACCGGGTGCATGTGCGTGCGTGCCCAAGATCCCAAGAGGAGACCGGAGGAGATGTGATTGCAGCGTGGCCATCCCCCTGGGAGGTGATTTCTCGTTTTCTGTCTCTCTGTCTCTGTCTGTCTGGTGAGTGCATGCACCCTATAGCAAAAACCTCTCCAAAAAAAAAACTCATGCCAGGCACCTGTGTGTACAAACCCAAGTTCCCAAGAGGGGAATAGAGAGGGGATTGCAACACAGCCACCCCCTCCCCGGGGGTGATTTCTCACTTTCTGTCTCTTTGTCTCTGTCTCAAGTGAGCACACGTGCCCTATAACAAAAACTCCTCAAAAAAAAAGAAAAAAACCCTAGCTATCTGCAGTGTTGTTGTGTTGCTCCACTGCTTTTGTCAGTAATAAGAAAGCCTATATTTTGTTTTTATAGATATAAATCCTCTTCCACAGTCAAATCAATATCAACCGATTTGTTTTAAATTTAAAGAGATTAAAATTACATTTATATATTTAAATATTCATTCTATACTGGATAATTCAATTAACTATATCTTCTATGGCTTTTTTGACATGAACTTTCATTTGCAAAAAGTTTTTTTGATATTAATATTTAAAATTTTGAAATCCTACCCATTAATTAAGTAAAACAGACATCTAAGTGTTTCAAAGACTTATTATGGGGGCAGGGGAGTAGAGGGTGTGTGTGTTCTTATCAGAGAAAGTCAGAGAAGGAAGGAGAGTAGAAAGTAACCCCCTATGGAGCAATCCCTTCTCTCTCACTCTCCGTCCTTTCAAAATTTTGGGCGCACACACACACACACACACACACACACAAATCTGGCATGTTTCTCAGGCCACTGGGTCCAGGACTCAAACCAGGTGGTTGGTCCTGTGGGATCCGCTACCTTCAACACTGGGCCACGGTGGCAGCCCAAAGACAATTTATAAAGCAATTCTGCAGATCCAAAGTCCAGGTCAAGCCCTAAAATTAAGTATTCAGACAACAACTTTCAAGTTCACATTCTGAAGATAACTTAAGCTTTTATATGATCATTCTAAAACTTACTTCAAAATTAAGGTCTCGGATTAAGACATCTCCATTTGGCGTTGCTAAAGGAACATGATCAAACCTACAAAAGAAATGAATAAAAAGAGGGCAATTTTAAAATATATAAAGAACTCACACAACTCAGTATGAAAGATACAGTAACTCAATCAAAAAATGGGCAAAGGACCTAAATAGATACTTCTTAAAGGAGACTCCAATGGCCAAAGGGCACATGAAAAAGGTGCTCAATATCTCTAGTCGTCACGAAACTGCAAATCAGAAGCACCATGAGAATCCTTTCAAGCCTGTTAGGATGGCTCTTATCAAGAGAGAAAAAGATCACTGTGGGCAGGATTTGGAGAAAGGGAACCCCTGCACGCTACAGTACAGCCATATGGAAAACAATCGAGAGATTCCTCAAAATACTAAACATAGTACTGTATGATCCACCAATCCCACTTCTAAGTATATATAGCCAAAGAAAATAGAGTCTGTATATACTTCCACCATGTTCATTACAGTATTATTCACAATAGCCAAGATATGTAAACTACCCAGTTGCTCTTAAACTGATAAAAGGATAAAGAAAATATAGTACGTATGAGGGAACTTTAAAAAGTTGGTGGAAAAATAGAATTAAGGAACAAGTTTATTATGGTGCAAAAAGGTTAGAAATCCATGCATGATATTTTCATAATATATAGTTTCCATGAACTTTTTTAAGACCCTCTAGTATTTACACAATGATGATTTGACCATAAAAAAGAGGGAAATCCTGCCGTTTTTGACCATATGAATGGAGCTGGAGGATGTTACATTGAGTGAAATAAGCAAGACACACAGAAATTCTGTATGAGCTTACTTGTTATATGGAATCTAAAATAGGCAAACTGATAGAAGCAGAAAATAGGATGGTGATTGTCAGGGGCTACAAAAGGAGTGATGTCAGCCAAAGGGTACAGAGTTTTGGGTTACACAAGATGAACAGAGATCTAATGTTCAGCACGGAGACAATTAAAGTACTGTATTGTATTCTTGAAATCTGTTAACATACATCTCAAATCATCACCACATACACTCATACACACACACAAATGGCGACTGTGTAGATGTGACGATAAATGAGTCAGCTGGAATATGGTGATCATTTCGCAATGTATGCATGCATCAAAAACATCCAGTGGTATACCTTAAATATTAATTTTTATGTCAATGATATCTCAAAGCTGTTTTAAAAAAGAGGATAATTTAAATTAAACACTAAGCAACTTAAGTGGAACGAGAAAGGCTAGCATGAAATCTAACAGATGTTTAGGTACTAGGGACGCTTTCTCTGTACGTACTTGATAATGTTATCCGCATTGATGATTTCTCCAGCACCAGGTATCAAAGGCATGACTTGTACTCCTTCAATACCTTAAATGGAAAGTAAGTATTAACGCTTCATATTATGTCAGCGGAAACTTAAAACTGTGACCTCTAATTGTTACCTTCACACTTACCCCTTTCCTGCTGGGAGACCATTGTGCGCTCATATTTGCCATGATTTAAGTCCTTTAGTACTTGCATTAATTCTGTGATCCGAGCAGTAAAGCTAATTTTTTTTAAAAAAAGGAAACCATAATCAAAACTTCCAGACTATTAGTACATCTTTTATTTTATACAAACATTAAGTGAAGTTTCTGAAATTATAATTTAAATGAAATAACCTAAAAGAAGCCTCATCAACATAAAGTACTATAGTGAGTTGCTGGAAAAAATCATCGCATTTTTGCAGAGAAAAACAGAAAAAAATATGTCATGACTTTTCCAACAGCCCAACACAAGTCTTACTATGATTCTTTAGGAGGGCAGGAACAAGGAGATAAGGGCAGACGTTTCACAGAATCCTCACCTTAACAGATACTTCATTAATAGGCAGGTTGAGACAGCGGCTTGCTATAAAGGATGTTAAGGTCATTTCTAGTGTACATGACAACAGGACGCCTGCTGTGCCTTCCTTGCACCCAGGAAGCATGGGTCCTAAGTTCCCGCTGAAGTGAACTATAAAGCCAGGTCTGAGGCTGGCCTTTCTCTTTGCATTCTGCCTCCCTGCAAACTGAGAAGCATTTGAAAGAGACCTCCTTTCTTATGCAGAAGAAGGGAGAAGATGAAGAGTTCTTGATATTAACGGTAGATGGATATCACTGTGGCAACAGAGAGAGATAACTACTGACAAGAGGCTGGTGGGGGGGTGTGTGTGAATGATATGATGGTTAAAAAGAGGCCAAGTAGGATTTCTGTGACTAACAAACAGAAACCTTCTAAAGGTAACTTTGGGAGGTGATCAATGTTTATGGTCTTGATGGCGACAGTTTTGGGACTATGATCATTTATCTCCACATTTATCAAATTGTATACCTTATATATGTACAGGTTTTTGTATGCCCATCATGCCTTGATGAAATGGTTTTTGAAAAAAGACAGAAACTAGGGCCAGCAGCTGGCATAGTAGTTACATCACTGGACTCCCACATGGCCAACTGTGGTTCAAGTCCTGGACTCAGTGGCTTGAAACACACTGGGCATGTGAGCATGTGTGCCTAAGAGCCCGTGAGGAGAATGAAGAAGGGACTGCAGCATGGCCATCTCTCCTGGGGGGTGATTTCTCACTTTCCTTTCAACTCACTGTCTCTGTGTCCCCCCACCCAAGTGTATGTGCCCTAGGGCAAAAAAAAAAGAGGATAGAAAACTCTTAAAGGAATAAAATATTCCATGATGCTATGAATAGTAAAGGCATAGGAAAATGTATTAACCAGTAAGCAGGAAGTTTGCATTCTCAAAGTAGTGATACAGAGGAAAAAAAGGAATAAAGAGGAAGAAATACAAAAATGGGTCACCAAATTTCTTTGGGTAACTTGAAATTTGTGATGTTGTTTACCCTACATCATACCCATTACATTAGAGCTTAAAATACCGAAATATTTCATTCCATTCTATGGTCTATGAACAGTTTTCCCACTAGACAATGATATTACAACTGCACCTACACAGGCTGTTAACTTTTCATTTTTTTCTACTGACGTCAGCTTCACCTCTTCTGTTTATCAGGTTTGCTAGGTTACCAGTATCAAAGATCTAAGGAAAAAAAGTATGGTGGAGAACAAAAATGTTCAAATGAGAAAGTTCTGTTCATTAACTTAATTTCTGTGAATTAGGAAAAGACAGTCATGACTCAATTTTTCTCAACTCATCAAACACCAGCATCCATGGAGCAGCAGCTTGAGAACCACTAATCTAGTGGAAGGCGCAAAGAGCTGTCTCCAGGAAACACGGAATACACACAGTCAGAAAAACTCTTCCTTAACTTACTATCCAAAGCAGCTTCCCAGAGCAGGAGAAGTTGCCCCTTTATCGCAACCTCAAATGGGCACAATCATTAAGGACAACATTGAAAAACTAATTATTCTCTGCAACTGTTCATTATTATTATTCTTACCCGGCCAATCTAGTCATCTCACGCCCAGCCAAAACTATTCGACCCAGAGCTTGAGACATTCGCAAAAGCATTCTTCCACTTTGGTAGTAATCCTTAAACAGAAATAAATATTAGTTTTCACTTACATTTCTAAGATTAAAACTAGGCCTTTTTTATTTTTATTTTAAAATTTTCACTTTATTATTATCATTACCTCCAGAAGTTCTGAATGTGTACTCTTAAGATGTCGAGGGTGAGACAAATCTAGGAAAGGACGACTGACAACGAGGTAACCAACTACAGTGGCAAGGTCTGAAATAAAAGTTAAGATTTAAAATGTTAACAGTATTTTACTTTTCCCAAAACCTCACTATACCATCTCTCTCTCTTTCTCTCTAACTGCCAGAGACAGAGAGAGGGAAAGGAAGAAAATAACCACCAATAGAGTCTGATCATGCCTCAATCCCTTCTCCATCCTGTTGGAAGTTGGGGCATGTACACACAGTATGTTTTTCAAGCCTCGGAGGCCAGGATTTGAGCCATGGTTGGCCATGTGGGATCCAGTTCCCTTGATTAACTACAGGGTGCAGGGCTCGCCCACACCATCTCTTTTAAAACATACTTACATTTGGCAATTATGCTATCAATGAAGCCCATAGAGAACCGAAACAAAATGAAATTATGTAGATGCTCCACCTACCAGAAAACAAAAGCAAAAAAAAATAATTTTATGTATAAAAAATTTAATCTACCATGAGGATAAAACAAATTGTAGAATTCATTTCTTCGACAAATATTTTCCCATGATTTCTGATTGTATTTCACATTACATTTCACTGAGCACAATGCCATCACAGAGCAGGTACCAAAAAAAATATTTCTTGTAATATTAGGTCATCTGAAAAGTCATGACGCATTTTTGCATACAGAAACATAGAAAAATATGAGATAATTTTCCAGCGCCCTAGTAGCACAATGCTATTCACAATACTGGCGGATATATATATCCCAAAATAGACCTACCACCAAAGCAAAAAGGAAAGAAGGAAGAGTTAATTTGGATGAAACACTAGCTGTCCAGATTGACTGTGCTTTCTCTAAGAATTGTACCGAAAACAAGCCCAGTGCGAATGTAAATCAATGCCACACGGTCCCAGTCTGCAGCTTTAACCTGAGCACAAATTGTCTTAAAATTACAAGTCTAAACATGCTTTTGATTCTGAAGTATAATGTTCACAAATTGTCTAGCAGATTATTCAAGGTCCTGCATTTTCTGGCTCTACTTTCGAACTAATCTGCTTTTACTTTACTCCTTCTCACTAAGCTTCAGAAATACTGATTTCTCAAACAATACTCTTTGTCTAAAGGCTTTGTTCTTACTGTTCCCTCTGCCAGCAACATCTTCCTAGATATATTTACATTTTGTGACTAATTCACTTACTTCGTGTGGGTTTCTGATTAATTATCACCTCCTCAAGAAAGACCTTCTTAAATCATTATAGTTAAAAATAACTATGCAACAGCCTCCATAAGACTCTCTCCATAAGACTCTCTCCCTTTATCCGGCTTCATTTTGGGTCACAAAATTTATTATCACCTGAAATTATATACAACACCCAGTTGTTTACCTATTTACTATGTCCTCCACTAAAATATGGGTTTTCTAAATACAGGGTAGCTTGTTCTTAGTGTCTTCTGCAACTAGAGCAATTTGGAACATTTATTCAACACCATGTGTCAGGCATTGCTCAAAATTCAAATTAGCCAGGTGAAGGGCAAACTGGTGCACAGCAATCCTCTGAAAAATTACCTCAAATGCTTTTCCTTAGTGAGCACTCTCAAAGTTCAGTCATGTTAAAAATCGGGAAGGTGTAGAATCCACTTTCTGTTTATGATACCCTATCTTTTCTAAATAATCTAAGTATGCGTGCATAAATTTATAAACGTATATATGTATTTCATATATATGTGTGCGTGTGTACATGTGTACATACAGTTTCACAAACATCCACTAAAATGCAAGCTCCTGAAGGGCCGGATTTTATCCTTCATTTTCACCACCCTACATAGCATTCATCTCTTCTGAATAAATAATGAATAAAACTGCTTGAATTCAAATTTGCCAAGTGAATGAACACTCAAATACAGCTTTCACAAGAAATAATGCTTTCATTCTAAATCAAAAGTCAGCAAACTATGGCTCATAGGCAAAAACAGCCTGCCATGTGTTTTTATAAACAAAGTTACATTACAATGTAGCCATTCCCATTGATTTAATATGGTATACAGCTACTTGAGTTAGAGTTGAACAGTTGCAATGGAGACTGTGTATTCTAAAAAGCCTCAAATATATGCATCCTATCCTACCCTTGACTTTAAAAAAATTGCTGATCCCTTCTCTTCATGATACACTTTACTGCATTTTCATAAACGCTACAAGACAAATTCCTGTGAGAATCACATTTATCACTAAATAAGATTCCTAAAGATTATTTTAATAAATCTGTCCATTTTGGGACCAGCAGTTGGCGTAATGGCTATGTCACTGGACTCCCATGTAGTCGACCACAGTTCAAGTCCCAGATCCAGTGGCTTAAACTCAGGCCAGGTGCGTGTGCACGTGTGCCCAAGATCCTGAGAGGAGAACAAAGGAGAAGGGATTGCAGCCGTGGCCATCCCCCCTGGGGGGTGACTTCTTGCTTTCTGTCTCTCTATCTCTCTCTGTCTTTCTGGCAAGCATACACAATATAGCAAAAAATCCTCTCCAGAAAATAAATAAATAAATAAACAAATAAATCTATTCATTTTTATAATCAGGTAGTTTAACATACTGGTGATAGTTTTTAATATGTTTTATTAAAAATATAGTATAACATTCTTTATGACTATTTACATATCTTTAAGACATGTTTATATACATAAGATTATACATATTTTGGCACAGGCTGAAAAAAATCTTTCCGTAAGCACAAGCCACAGTATGCTATCTTACCAGTTTCCGGAAAACAGAGTGGATTGTCTGCTTTTCTCTTTTATTCCCATTGTAAAAGGCAATTTCTTCACTGTAAAAGACAATAATTTAGCAATTAATTTTACTTACCTACGCCTGAAATATAACAGAAATACAGTATTTGATGCCTGAATATCTGTTTTGAAATGTACGTTTTGTGACTAAGAGCTCAGCTGGTGCACCTTTAAGCTATGATCTGTACTTGCCATCCTGCTCCTAGGCCAGATGATCAGAGCACAGAAATGCACACTCCCGCATTTCTGGTGCATACCACTACACTAGACAACTCACTAGACTGCAGCCTGTGTCAGATGCAGCCTGGCTGGAAAAGACGTGCTGGGCTAGTCTCAGAAATCTGCAAGAAGACACTGCAGGAAGATGCCATGAAAGACAGGGCTGGGACATTTTAGGCTACAAGTTGAAGTACGGATCCAGAGAGGAAGGAAAGGAAAAATTAGCAGCTAGGAAAAGGTACAATGCCTTGACACAGAGCTTCTGAAAGACAGAAGAGCCGGCTAAGTCTTCCAGCCCCAAGAAGGCCTGAATGTACTGCAGCTGTTCTTAATCTTGGAACCCCACCAAGCCCTCACAACAATTTCCCTTTTCTTGAGCTGGCCTGAACGGGCCCACAAGGGCCATGAGGATCTTGATTAAAAATAAAGGGTACTTTATAGGTGAAGAAAGGTTCAGTGTGGTTAAGTAAATTTGTCAAAGTCACACAGCCAGGAAGTCAAGGAGCTGAAATTGAAACTCATTTTCAACTCTTTCCATCATATAAGGATGATGTAAACTTTCCCAGCAAAGTATCTCTTACAGCAGAGGGAAGTAAATATTTTATAAAGAAGTCCAGAAGGTGTGGCTAAAACAGTCTTCAATAAACATCTTATGTTTCTTTAAAGTCTCTTTTTTTCCCTTAAAAATATATGAATCTTGGGACGAGCAGTTGGCGTAATGGCTATGTCACTGGACTCCCACGTAGTCAACCATGGTTCAAGTCCCAGACCTGGTGGCTTAAACACATGCGGGGCGCATGTGCGTGTCCGCCAAGATCCCGAGAGGAGAATGAGGGGAAGGGACTGCAGCATGGTCATCCCCCTTGGGGGTGATTTCTCACTTTCTGTCTCTCTGTCTTTGTCTGTCTGGCGAGCACAAGTGCCTTATAGCAAAAGAAAAAAAAAAATCTCAAAAAAAATATGAGTTTTACACTCTACTTCTAAAACTTACCAGTATTCATTCCAACATAAAACCAAGGCACCTCCTGTGCCAACCCCTTTATGTAAAATTAACTTTCTATAAAGATGCATCATGTTTATCCCACGGTTCATAGTTCCTTGACATGACGATACAGAGTCCAGGGTATGAGAATTCCAGGATATAGGAATCCCAGAATTTCACATCTATAACTACTTTTTTTTTTTAACCTTTCTTCTACCTCTTTTATACATCTCAGCCTACAGAGACTGACTGCAGATTGACATTCTCCTAAACTGAGTCATTTAGCCCTTACCAAAATCTGAAAGGACAGCAAATCCTAAAATCCTCATGGGGGCCTATCTAACAGGTATTCTTTCCCACATCTTTTTCCTAAGAGAACTCCACTTTTTTAAGTCATTTATCCTGTTCTGTGCATCTTAATGCTTTAGGAATGGCTCCCAGGGTCGTATGGGCCCCAGCTGGTCATCGCCAATCACTTTAGGGATGGCAAGTGATCATTCCAGCCAATGAGACCAGAGGGGAAAGTTGGCCACACGACTTTGGAGAAAAATGTCTTTGCTCTCTTTAAGAGACATCACAGGAGATGCCTCTTTTGTTTCTGGACCTTTCTGCAGGGGAGAGGGGCTAGAGAAATCTGGAAATGTTGTGCTATCTAGGACCAAGCAGGAGCAGCCGAAGGAGAAGGCAGCATTTAAAGAAGAGCAGAGACAAGAGAAAAGCAAAGAGCCAGAGCCCTGGCCAAGCTGAGCCCAGCATTGCTCCATCTCAAGAGTTCTGACGTGAGGCAGCAAATGCCTTTACTGTTGGGGCCGTCGGGGGCAGGTCTGCATGCAGCAGGAAGCAGCCCACCTGATGCCATCCTTTACTTGGCACTCCCTTCTACCTAACCTTCTACTCCTCTGCCTTCTCAAAGCATAAAACTATTTTAAAATTAGTACCGTTTTAACAGTCTAAGAAACCACGGGAAGAGGATACTGTCAAAAGAGTAATTTCCTAAGTAGTTTTGTAAATTCCTACAGAATGGCCTAGAATATTAAATAAATACTGGGACCTTCAAAATGAATTAATGTTGAGAGATCATTATATGAGAAAATTTATTGAGGGCTAGCTTTATGTCAAAAATTATTAGAAACTTTGTATGTACTATCAAATTTAATCCTCATAATAACCCTATATTATCTACCTATTATAAAATAAGAAAACTGGGACCAGCAGTTAGCATAATGGCTATGTTGCTGGACTCCCAGGTAGTCGACTGTTTGAGTCCTGGACCCGGTGACTTAAACTCACACCGGGTGCGTGTGCATGCGTGCCCAAGATCCCGAGAGGAAAATGGAGAAGGGACTGCAGCGTGGCTATCCCCCACTGAGGGGAGATTTCTCACTTTCTGTCTCTCTGGTGAAGGCACGTGCC